CCCTGTATGTTTGCTCTTTGTTCTTATTCCTCTCTCTGCAACTTCAAGCAACCAAGTCTCTCCTGGTCCTGCTTAAACCTTGTTTGGCTTGGTTGGGAGGGAGCAGTTGACCTGGCTCTCTCCCAAGTATTCTTGGCAGTCCTCTGCTCCCAAGCATTCTGTGGTACATTTATTGCTGGAGCTGGGTGCTGGGCCTGGAGCTACATCCACCCTGGTCCCTGTGCTGGTCCCTGGGATCTTATTGTCCTGAAGAACTCTCCTTACTCTCTTGCTTTTCAGTGTTTGCTATAATTTTTGGCCTCTTATTTTCATATATGCTGGGGTACCATTAGCTGTTTGCTCTTTTCCTTTGTATATTGGCTACGTTTTTCTTCCCTGTGTAGAGGGAAGTGGAATCTGCTCCCTCCTACTCTGTCACCAGATTTTTTCTTGTAGACACCAACTATTTATCTATTGTTTTAAATCTATATTTAAATAAATATAGATAAATAAATATAGATTAAACATTTTTTATTTATCTATATTTAGAGAGGGGGAAGGGAGGAAGGGAGAAAGGGAGAGAAACATCAATACATAAGATACATATTAATCAGTTGCCTCTCACATATCACCAAATGGGTTCTTAACACACAACCCAGGCATGTGCCCTTACCAAGAATCAAACTGCTGACCTTTTCATTCAAAGGCAGGTGCTCAGTCCAGTAGGCACACCAGTTGGGACTTACAAATATTTTTTTCTCAGCTCTTGAGTTCTCTTTTTTTTCATGATGATGATGGCTTTTCTGTTTTTTTTTTCTAACTTACTGTTTGATTTGAAATAATGTGGTTTAAATGTTCATACTGTGAATTGAGAGACAAATTTAGTACACAATTTGCCGTGAAAAGTATGCACTGGCCCTAGCTGGCATGCCTAGGTGCATTGAGAGCACCCTTGCAAGCCAAAGTGTCACCAGTTTGATTTCCAGTGTAAGACACAGGCCTGATTTGCATACCAGGCCCCCAGTAGTGACTGCGCAAGAGATAACTACACATTGATGTTTCCCTTTCTATCTTTGTCCCTTCCACTCTCTAAACATAAATAAATACAATGTTTAAAAAAGTGTACAGTGTATACAGTTAAGTATTTTTTTAATTGATCAGTAACATGGAAGTCATATATACAATTCTTTTTTTTTCTTTTTTTTCCAGTGAAAACATCATGAGTCATGACTTGAAGGAGATGTATTGAGATATAATTTTCAGACATTAAACAAGGTCTGTTCAGAGACTATCCAGACATGACATAAAAACTAAATATATTTTAGTTTTCAAAATATGAAAACTAAGAACATTTACTAAAATGTGTACACGAAACTCTGTTCCTAGGACAATGACACCTCAGTCCCTTTCCTAGTAGCCACCTTGGGAACTCTCACAGTTTTTCCAGTTGCCATCACCTGCCCCATCATATTTTCCTGAATGTCATCAACAGTATGAAATCTCTTCCTTTTCAAAGCTAATTTTAGTCTAGGGAAAACTGTAAGTTGCATGGCACCATCTCTGGGGTATAAGGAGCTGAGTCAACTGGGTGATTTCACGTTTTTCCAAAACACTCGGCATGTGACATGCATGATGCACAAACAGTGCATATTCATGCTGAAGCTGCTATTCCCAGTCTCCCATAGTGGCAACCTTCTGAATTATATGAATAGATTCCATGGAGGAATGTTGATATTTATTGGAATATTTAATGCAGATTCATTGCTCTACTCTCCCAGTCATTTTGAATATGAAAGCCCACAGTATGTATGCTGACTCAGCAGGGTCTATTGCCCCCACTGGTAGTACAGTGAAGTCGTCATTGTTCACACATGCACATTCCAGTCCACTCTTCTTGGCTGCCAGGATACATCCATGAGGTGCACACTGTTCTTGTTAATTTACATTCACAATTGTTGGCCTTTTTTCCAGAATATGTCTATTGTCACTAAAATAACATGGTATTCTATTCCATTCTTCATCTTCACTATTGTAAAGGATGCAGCAGTGGATATAAGGTTGTATATACCATTTGAAATGTGTGTACTCACATTCTTTAGATAACTGCCAGAAATGCAATTTGTGTGTCCTATGGTAGTTGTTTGTAAATATTTGATGGCCATCCCTCTTGTTTTCTGCAGTGGCTGCACCAATTTATTTATAATCTCACAACAGTGCCCAAGGGTTCTCCTTTCTGCATTTCATTGCCAGTAGTCATTGTTTGTTAATTATTGATAATTGCCATCCTGATAGGTGTGTTGATTTATTGATCATTTACATACTGATAGGCATGTTGTGGTATTTCATTGTAGTCTCAATTTGTATTTCTCAGATGATGAACGACATTGAACATCTTTTCAAGTGTCTATTGGCCATCTTTGTGTCCTCTTTACATAAATATCTAATCACTTCCTCTGCCCATTTCCTTTCTATTCTATATTATCTTTTTTATTTCTAAAATTATATTTATTTATTTTTAGATAGGGTAAGGGAAGAAGAAAGAAAAGGAGAGAAACCTCAATGTGTGGTTATTTTTTGCACACTTCTAACTTAGAAACTGGCCCACACCTGAGGCATGTGCCCTGACTGGGAATCAAACTGGTGATCCATTGGTTCACAGGTCAGCACTCAATCCACTGAGTGCTCAAGCCAGTGCTCCCCATTTTTCCATGACATTGTTTATTTGGCATTGTGTAAGTTCTTTGTATACTTTGAATATTTAGCATTATTTACGGATATCTTGTCCTTTTCAGTAAATTGGTTGGTTTGTTTTCTAAAGGATTTTCTTTCCTATGAAAAAAACTTCTTTCATTATAGTCTTATTTCTTTGTTTTTTCTTCTGTCTGCCTTACCCACCATGCTATATCTAAAAGAGTATTCCTGAAGAGTCATGACAGAGTTTGTAAGCTGTCTTTCTTTTACTGTTTTCATAGTTTCAGGTCTCACATTTTAGGTTTTAATCCATTTTGAGTTAATTTTGGGACATGTCATGAGATAGTGGTCTACTTAAAATGTTTTGTGTTCGTTGAGTTTATTGGTTCAGTTTCTCTCAGTCCATTTATGAAAGAATCTGTCTCATTCCATTGTGTATTCCTGATTTTTTCTTTATAAAGTAGTTAATGACATATATATACATATACATACATACATATATATATGTATACACATACACATACACACACACACACACACACACACATATATATATATATATATGCATTTTAGAAACTGGGTTACTTGTTTTATTTATTTATTTATTTTATAAGATTTTATTTATTTCCCTTCAGAGAGGGAGGGAAGGAGAGAGAAGGAGAGAAATATCAATATATGCCTCGCCCCCCGCGCACCCATGTACCCTGACATACCAATGGTGCTTCACAGGCCCCTTCACTGTGCTACACAAGCCAGGGCACTTGTTTTATTATGATATTTTTTACAGGTCATTCATATAACCTGGATATTTACTACTTATCAGGTACAATTTACAGAAATATTCTTTCTTCTATGGCATGTCATTTTAACTTACTGGTTGTTTACTTTAATGTGCAGCAGTTTTCATATTTGGTACAGTGCCATTGAATTATTTTTTCTTCTTTACATTTCGTTTGGGTGTTAAAAAAAAACGGAGTTGTCATGTAATCACTTTGTTTAGTGAATTAATAGCTATTAGAGTGGCTCAGTTTGTTGAGCATCATCCCTTAAAGCCAAGGTCACCAATTTTCTTCTGAAAAAAAGAACATGCCTGGATTGTGGGCCTAGAACCTGGTTGTGGACATAAACAGGCAACCACTTGATGTTTCTTTATTTTAATGTATTTTTTAATTTGAGTATTAATTTTTCACCTTCCCATTCTTTGTTTGGCTTATTTTTATATTTTCTTTCTTTTTATTTTTATTTTGGTCATTCACAGACTCGCTGCTATTAAATAGAAGTTATATTGTCCTATGTTTCTATTTTCAGGTTGGTAATTTCAGTTCTTTATCTAATAATTAAAATATATCAATATAGGTAGTGTCAGTTGTAGTAGATGCACATTTTCATTTTTAGATTTTTTATTTATTTCAGCCAGAGGGTAAGGGAGGGAGTAGAACATCACTGTGTAGTTGCCTCATGTGTGCCCCCTTCTAGGGACCTGACCTGGATGGCAACCCAGGCATGTGCCCTGACTGGGAATAGAACAAGCAACCCTTTGGTTTTCAGACCAGCGCTCCATCCACTGAGCCACAGCAGCCAGGGCTAGTTTTTGTAGATGCACTTTAGTTTTCTGATTTGACCTTGGTTTCCTGTTTCCTTTCTTGATATATTTGTTGAGGTTCAGAGCTGAAACAACTAGGCTTTATGAACTTGCTTTGTCCAGGTTTAGAGAAAAGGAAATAACATTCACCCCTAGTTTAAACTCTAATTTCTGTAAACACGGGTGTTTGTTTTTGAGTGTTTCTGGGTTGCAAGTTTTATATAATGTCTGTTTTTTCATACCCCATGATATCTTTTTATGTATGCTATTGGTCTTCAGTTAACTGGTCTGTGTTATTTCAACTATTACCCTTTCATTTTAGTGTGCAGGGTAATGTCTTCACCATGTGTTGTTATGGCCTGAGCACTGTGTGTCCTGCAAAACAGAAACACCTATATTGAAGATGCAGGAAAACTGTGAGATCACTGAATACAGAGGACCCTCTATTTGTCTTGAAAACAATGGGAATGAGGAGTTTATTCTATTCTTATTGTGTGCCAAGGGAGTTGAGCACAGTAGTTTACAAGTGTAAGCAACTGGTGTTCCTTTTTTGTATGATTTTTTCTCATTGTACCACACTTCATTGTCCTGCAAGTATTTAAGTTTTTGAAGTACTCAACAATGTGATTTGTTAAAAAATTCCTTGTAAGGTCAATGTACATTCACCTGTGTGTAATACCTGTGAACCTTTCTTTTGTGTCTTTCAGCTGTGTCATCTACAGACAACCAGTGTTTTTTGGAAAGGTCAGGAATAGAAGATCTATTTTTTGAAGAAACGCTGGTAAGATATGAGAGATGTGCCTTTGATACTGATAAGGAAGTTGATAACAAGAAAAGATGATGGAATGGAGAAAAGTAACATTAAAAAATTATTCATGAAAAATTATTGTTAACTAAAGATGTAAAACATATTACAAATTTGTGGAAACTTCCACTTTAAATCAGTTACCTTTACAGACCAATGTATTTTCAAATAGAAAGACTGAAAATCATATTTTAAGTGTACATATTCTTCTAAAGCTGAGGTGTCAAAACACAAGGCTTCCAGGCCGAATCTGGCCTCAACCTTCTTTTATCCAACACAGAAACTTGTTCCTACCTGGAGGCAGCACCAACCTCCTTGCTCCTAGATAAGGAGTATTAACATTTTCATGGTTTGTTGTAGGCCGCTCTGCCTAGTTTTAGGAATTGTATTTCCACCCTTGTGGCTAAGGGCAAGAGACGACCTTCAGAATGCCAGCCATAGGAGACAGAGCTTGTCTGTGGTAGCAAAGGCTGCCTCAGTTCCTCTCCCTGCCCCCAGAGCTTGGTTGGAAGTCAATGACGGGTAAGACCCCTCACAGTGGGGGGCAACCTAAGACAGACTTGATCACCTGGGAGACCTTCATGGAAGCACTTGGGGGGCTGGAACAAAGGGCAATGGTCTCTCGCTCCCCCCCCCCCCCGGAGTTTGTCAAAGCCCAAGTCCCCATGTTCTTTGGGAGAAGCACTTCCTGGCTCCAATCCCCTTAAGCCTGAATACCTGTTGGGGAGGAGTGCAGCTCCTTGCCTTGCTAGAGCGTGTCCTGGGAAAAAATCTGGCACCACAAAGACTTGCTGATAAACCTGTGAAATCTGCTCTGCTAAGAGTGCTTTCATTCATATGATAAGGCTCCGAGAGGAAATGACTATGTCTCCCAAAGTTTTTGCAACTCTCTTCCTGACAGACACTGACTCATAGTAAGCACTCAGATTTCTTGTAACGTTATCTGCTGTTTGATCCTTGTCGCCTTGTATTCCTGTGTATTACAACCCAATAAAAGGCTATGGAGAAAGAGGCTTGGGGCCTTTTTCTCCTCAGAGAAACTGGCCGCTGCTGGCCTTTGTCTCCCCTGAGAAACTGGGGAGACAGCCCACTCCTCCTCCCCAAGCAGATCTCATCTTGTCCTGGCCATATTTATTCATTCATGCGTGTCTGTGGCACCGGGGGGACTCGCAGGAGAGGTCACCCCCACAATGGTTCCTAAAATAACATGCAGCCTCCGGAAGGCAACTATGAGACTGATGTAACCCATGGTGAAAATTAGTTTGACACCCCTGTTCTAAACACAGTCTAGAAAATCTGGGAGATCTCATAATTTGTGGTTTGGGTAATCATTTGAATTGTTTAAAATGCTGAGTGGGAATAACATTTCAGTCAATAATATTTTACAATGTAGTCATTTAGAATGCATGTAGAAAGCTAAAATGTGATCAATTTGACATACCCTTTCTTCAGGAAATGCTGTACTTTTGTAGAAATAATATTTTCTTTTATTCCACTCTAATGTTTTCTTGAACTTCAGCATGATGTTTAATACAAACAATGTGGTTTTATAGGGATCACAGAAAGGTTATTTAGAAATAAGTGCACATGTTTAGTGAAATTATAGATGCCAGAAAAGGTGTTTCTGTGTTAAATGTTTACCAGAGTATGTGTGATGATGACAGAAGTAGTCAATGCAGTGAACATTGGAAAGATTTTACCCATGAGTCAAAACCTAATATCCAGCCAAAGAGTCAGCTTCCAAACAGCCATTATGAAGGTGGAGAAGTCTTTGTCCAAATATCAAATCACAATACTCATCAGGTTTTCTCTATTGAGGAGAAGTCAAACAAGCAGAGTAAAAATATCCAATGCTTAAAGGAATCATCAAATAGCACCGAAAAAATGAATATTGTTGTCAGGGGTAAAGTTTGCAGATATTTTCCATGCAGGAAATTCTTCAAACAATATCAAATCTAAATACACTTAACAAAAGAGGTCCGAGCAAAGAACATAAATGTGAAAACTGTGGTAAAACAGGTCACTGGTTCTCAGATGTAACTCTATATAAAACTATTTATCCTGGACAGAAGCCTGAAATTTGTAAAGAACATGGCAATGTATTTTGGATTACATCACCCTTTCTAATTCTCACACAGTTCACATGGGACACAACCCTGATAAATGTAGAGAATGTGCTAAAACATTTAGCCATGATAATGATAATCAGAACATTCATACAGGAGGAAAAAATGTCAAATGTAGTGAATGTGGCAATTCATTTAGAAAGTCCTATAATATTCCTCAGCATCACAGAATTCATACAGGTGAAAACTCTCCTATGTGTAGAAAATGTTGGAAAGCATTTAGGAGGTCTTCAAACCTTACACATCCTCAGAAAATTCATACTAAAGAGAAGCCTTATGAATGCAGAAAATGGGGCAAAGCCTTAAGGTGGTACTAAAACCTTACACAACATCTGACTGTTAATACTGAAAGGAAGCCTTATAAATGTACACAATGTGGCAAAGCATTTACACAGTCCTCAACCCTTAGGTGCCATCAGAGAGTTCAGACTGGAGAGAAGCCTTTTGAATGTACAAAATGTAGCAAAGTGTTTAGCCAGACCTCACACCTTACTCAGCATCAGAAAATGCATACTGGAGAGAAGCCTTTTGAATGTACCCAATGTGGCAAAGTCTTTAGGCAGCAGTAAACACTTACTCAGCATCAGAAAATTCATACTGGGGAGAAGCCTTATGACTGTGCAAAGTGTTGCAAAGCCTTTAGGGATACTTCAACTCTTACTCAACATCAGAAAATTCATAGTGGAGAAAAGCCTTATGAATATGCACAATGTAAGAAAACATTTCTACAGTTCTTAATCCTTACTCTACGTCAGAGAGCTCATATTGGTGAAAAGCCTTATATATGTAAAATATGAGGTAAACACTTTAACATGGTCTGTAAGATTTCTCAGCCTCAGAAAATTCATGAGGGAGAGAAACCTTCTAAGTGTTGAGCATGTGATAAAGCATTTTAAAGTCCTCACACCTTACTCAAAATCAGGTAATTCACACAGGAGGAATGCCTTACACACGAATCTTACATGGTAAAGGTTTTAGTCAGTCCTCAATGCTAATTCATCATAAAGTATATTTATACTGTAGTGAAGCCTTTTAATTGTAAATGATGGAATAAAGCCTTCAGCCACTTCCAACCCCTATTAAACTTAAGAGAAGTTCATTCATACTGGACACATGTCTTATAAATGTGAAATACGTGGCAAAACTTTTTGACATCAGGTCATGCATACTGGAGAGAAACCATATAAAAGTAAAGTATATAACAAGTGTTTTAGTCATCAGAGCTGCCTTAACCAATGTGAGAGACATCCATCTTCAGAAAAAGTGTATTTTAACCTGTATTCAAAGTGTATCCAACATTTTAAAGCCCCTTTTTTCAACATTCACTTCCTATGTGGCATATGAGAATTCACACTATTAAAAAAAATTGAAAGGGAAATTCTAGAAAACCATGTAGGTTGACCTATAGCCTCATTATACATCAGGGCAAAGCACAGTGGGGTGCATTTCTACATTCATAAAGAATAAATGACTTTTGTGAAATTATACAGTTCTCATAACTTCAAAGAATTTATATGTGAAAGTGGCTTGAAACGTAAAAATTTAGGAAATTTTGTAATTGACAAAGAGGATCCAAATATCATAACTCAGAGTAGAGAGTTAATGATAGGCTTCAGGTATTGCTGTACATTGAAATATTAGTATAGAGATTCAGGCAAAGTTTTAAAAAAATCATTTCTTTTGAGTGTGCTTCGAAATGTCAAGGGCATAAATGTCTATATATGTATAATTACTTAGAATATAAACTATAAGTCAGGGCACATGCCTGGGTTACAGGCCGATTCCCTGCAGGCCAGTTCCCAGCAGGGGATGCACAAAAGGCAACCCTACATTGATGTTTCTCTCCCTCTCTCCTTCCCTTCCCCTCTAAAGATAAATAAATAAAATCTTAAAAATATATATATAAACTATAGTTTATTAACAGCATTTAAAATATTTTGACAAGGAAATATTAAACTTATTCCAGTCTCTTATCAGTTGATGCTACTATGTTTTTATTCCTGGTGTGCGAAATCAGTGGGATTATTGTTGGTTCCTTAACAACCTGTGAACTCTTGTGTATTAGGTGAGCTTCATTCATGATTATATTTGTATATAAGATTGAGGACACTATCGTGCACAATGTATTAAAAATGTAAATGATATCACCTTTAACAGGAAGCTAAACAACAAAACGAGCAACCAAAATAAAAACAAAGAATTAGAGAACAAGGGGACAGCAAGCACAGGGGAGAGAGGAGGGAATTTAAGGGAAAAAAATGGGAGGGATTTAGAGGAACAAGTAAAAAGGACACAGGGACAATAACTAAGGGGGGTGGAAATGGGAGGGAGGTGACGAGCATGGGGTGGGGTGGGCTGGGATGGGAGAAATAGACAGATAACTGTACTTGAAAAATAACTAAATAAATTTTTTTTAAAATCTAAATGAAGTTGCTGGTTTTAGGTTACTCAGAATTTTATTGTATGTTACAATGGAAATCATGGTATTTTGCATTATAGTAAGACGTGAAAATATTATACATTCTAAGTATTTTTCTGAACCACACTTTAAAGAAAATGTCAATTTATTAAAATTCTGATGTATCTTCATGGTAGTCATAGTTGAATATTAGTTGATGTGGTTGGAATTAAAAAGCCATCAGTGATATGTGAGGGAATAGAAACAGTTTATCCTTCAGTGAATAAAATTGCTCTATGTCCACCTTTGCTCAAGATTTCGCCTCCAGTGAGGAAAAAAAAAAAGAAAACTGTACTGTAGGATCATAATATACAAGAACAGTAACACTCCCCAAATGATTCCAATGTGTGTGTCGAGAAACGGTAACACAACTGTATTGTGATTCTTCATTT